TGCTACACTGCACCCTGGCTGGCTCGTCTCTTTTCTTGTGATCCTTCTGTGAGGGGATGTCCTATTGTCTACAGATGGGCTTTGAGTCTCCACTCTGCCCTTCCCCTTCATTCACATCGGTATGATTTTTTTGTTCTGGGTCTTCAATGCCTGATACCTGATCCCATCGACACCTCATAATCACACATGCTGGTGTGCTTCTTCTATGTGGGCTTTGTTGCTTCTCAGCTAGATGGCCGCTTTTTTATCGTCAGGCCTTTACCATCCAAGATGCTATCTTTGATAACTGGTCACCATTACATTTCTTCACTATATTTGCTTATGCACCCATTTTGTCTTCAGTGATCGTGTTGGGAAGGTACGCATCACAGAATACCAGGTTATTAGAACAAAGTGTTCTTGCATTGAGGGAGTATTTGAGTAGAGAAAACAACAGGACAGATGGTTCCAGGGGGACATGGGAGAAGGGGAGGTGGGGGAAAGGAAGTGGGGAGCCAACAAACCCAGGGACAAGGGAACAAGTTATCTAAAATCGATGACAAGGAGTGTGTAGGATGCCTGGTAGGGTTTGACAACATGCAATGTAGACAAGTGGAATCAATGAAAGCCTAATAAAGGTCGAACATGATAGTGGGACAAAAGGAAAATAAAAGGAAATAGAGGAAAGAACTATGAGGCAAAGGGCATTTATAGAGGTCTAAATATAGGCATGTAAATATATTTATATATAACAATAGAGAGATCTATGTACACGTATTTCTACGCTAAGTATTAAGCTAGCAGACATTGGGCCTCTACTCAAGGCTGTAAATCTTAATGGAGTAGGGAGCCTCATCTTTTCCCCATCGAATAACTGGGTTTTGACCAATGCACAACCCACAATGCCACTTGGGCTGTTGTGTTTATATTTTAAAGTGTTCTTTGTATCAGATTACACTGTTTTATCTAGGTCTCGAGATTCATCAGGGCCATACTGAAAGGATCAAATGAGCTTTAGTGGGGCCAGAAGTCAGCTAGTGTGCAATCTCTCTCTGCACCAAGCACTACCCCAGCTCCACTTTATAAAGCAACAAACCACGAGCAGGGGGTGACTTTTCATGCCCAATAACAACCGTAAGAATTCATTAAAACTCCCACTGTCATCACATTTCCATCCTTCACTTTTGTGGGTTGGAGATGCATCCCACTCATTCTCCTAAGTGTTACTCCCCAATGTCCCCCCACAATAATGCCAAATTTAAAGTGCTGTTTGCAAACACATGGTTGCTTACTACATGTTTGAAGGTTAACTGCTTGAAGGCTATCTTCCTGAAAGGTGTCTGTCATCAAAAGCAATTAGATCCTATTGTCTGTCCCGCCCTTTCTGATAAGGATCAGAGATTATTCCCCTGGAGAAACTCAAAGATGTCAAAGGTCAAGCCAACTCAGGGACTACCAAGGGGAGGCTGCCATCTTGATTCTAGAGCAGTGGTGCTCAATCTCCTTAATGCCATGACCCTTTAATAGAGTTCATGTTGTGGTGACCCCCCCCAACCATAAAATTATTTTCGCTGTTACTTCATAACTGTTATTTTGCTACTGTTATGAATCGGATGACCCCTGTGAAAGGGTCTTTCAACCCCCAAAGAGGTCTCGACCCACAGGTTGAGAACTGCTGCTCCAGAGCATGTCCACTTGTTATTTATGTACTTGCCTGTCACATATATGCTTCTTGTACAACTCCTTCCTGTTACATAAATGCTTACCATGGTCTGCGTGCCCAGATTATATAAGCTAATGAGTATATATTAAATTCTCTCTCTGTTATGGGACCTAGTTCCTGAAGCAATCATGGAGGTGAGTCCCTGCATGCTTTATCTTGTCTGATGCCTCTTTAATTTACCCCTTTAATACACTCCTGACCCCTTGGATCCATTCAGATGTGGAAGCTGGCCCCACATATCATTTACTAAAGTTGCAATACTACATTGGCAGCTGCCAGAAATTCAAGCCTAATTTAGAACAAAACATGGAACAAGGTGTATCATTGCTGATGTCAGATGGATCTTGACTAAAAGCAGAGAATACCAGAAAGATGTCTGCCTTTGTTTCAGTGACTGTGCAAAGGATTCTGACCGTGTGGACCATAACGAACTGTGATAGCATTGCAACTAATGGAAATTCCAGAGCAATTGTAAGAAAAGAAGGGAAAACTGCATGGTTTAAAATCAGGAAGAGAAGAAGGGAAAACTCCACGGTTTAAAATCAGGAAAGGTATGTGTGAGGGTTGTATCCTCTCACCATACTTAATCTGTATGGTGAGCACATACTCAGGGAAGCCGGAGTTATGAAGACTGCAACATCAGGATTTGAGGAAGACTTATTAACAACCTGCAATACGCAGATGACACAACATTGCTGGCTGAAAGTGAGGGCTTAAAGCACGTGCTGATGCAGATCAAGCAAGGACTGCTGCTTTCAGTGTGGATTAGAATTCCATGTAAAGAAAACAAAAATCCTCACAATTGGAATACTAGATAACCATCATGGTAAACGGAGAAAAGGGTGGGCTTGTCAATAAGTTAATCTTGCTTGGATCTACAATCAATGCTAATGGAAGGAGCAGTCAAAGATCAAATAGCACATTGCATTAAGAGAATCTGCAATTGGGTTGCTTTGAGGACTATGGTGTGCCTGACCCAAGCCATGGTATTTTCAAATTACCTCATATACATGTGAAAGTTGGTCTCATTGAATAAGGAAGACTAAAGAAAAATTAATGCATTTGAACTGTGGTGTTAGCGGCGAAGAATACTGAAAGTATAAGAGACTATCAAAAGAACAAACAGATCTGTCTTAGAAGAAGTACAGCCAGTATATACCTCAGAGGCAAGGAGGGCAAGACTCATGTACCTGAGACATGTTATGGGAGAAATCAGTCCCTGGAGAAGGACATCATGTTCGGTAAAGCGGAGGCAGTGAAAGAAAGGAAGGCCCTCAAAGAGATGGAGTGACACAGCGGCTGCAGCAATGGGCTCAGACATAAGAACCATTGTGAGCATGGTGCAGGACCAGGCAGTGCTTCATTCCGTTGTGCACAGCTTCGCTATGGGTTGGAACCGACTCAAGTGCACCCAGCAACAATGTAAAATAAATTAAACACTGATACATAGGACACTGTGGATGAACCTTGAAACATTTTAAAAATAACAAATTAGATATAGAAGGCCACATATTGTAAGATACCATACATTTGAAATGTTGAAAAAGCAAAATCCATAAAGAGAAACACATGTAGATTAGTAGTTGCCAGGGCCTGGAGAAGCCCAGCTGCTAATTGGCATGTGGTATCTTTTGAGTGTTGCCAATATCCTGCAATTAGACAGTGGTAAAAGTTAAAAAATGCTTTGACTATCCTAAAAAATTCACTGAATTGTGCACTTTAAATTTTCTGCACTTCCTGTAGTGGCCTGAGGTGATCAGTCCAAATGGTTCACTACTCACTTGACCTAGAAAACCCCACAAAATCATGCAAATCAAGCGGGTCAATCTCTGGGTCCACTTTAAGAATACCGTGAAACTGCCCAGGCCATCAAGGGTATGCATGTCCAGAAACCCACCAAATATTTGAAAGACATTGAAGAAGCAGTATATACCCTTCTGACGTTACAATGGTGGGATTGGTTGGTGTGCCCAGGCCAAACAGTGGGGTTGGCCCCAGGGTTGGCCCAAAAAGAGTGCTAAATTTTTGCAGCACATGCTTAAAAATGCAGAGAGTAATGTTGAACTTGTTTAGATGTGGATTCTCTGGTCATTGAAAACATTCAGGTGAACAAAGTCCTCCAAGATGTGATGTTGGACTTAGAGAGCTCATGGCTGGATCAATCCATACATGAGTTCCCCACGCTACATTGAAATGATCCTGACGGAAAAGGAACAAACTGTTCCTAAACCAGAAAAGGGGGCTGCATAGGAGATAAAGATCTCCCAGAAGAAATGGAAGAAGCAAAAACTTATGGCGGAGGAATAAATTAAGCTTAAAATAATAAAAGTTTTTTTTTTAAGTCAAATTTTCTGGTAGGTACAGTATATGAGAATACATTGGATGGACCGTCAGTTTATGATCTAATACAAAGTTTTATTCATCTGTTTTTCATACAATATGCTGCCATTCAAAATATACCTCATAAATAACTCATGCATATAGTAGGCATTCTATAAATATTCTGATATAATATTTAGATATTTTTTAGAATGACTGAAAATCCTGATGTAAAATCCCAGTTGGGAAGTGCATAATCCCACCGTAGACAAAATATATAACTTTACATTTTTATAAGAATTTGCCCCAAAGGGGGAACACTTACAATCTGGAAAATAAAAAGTAAAAAGCTAGTGAAGCACAACACTAACTAGACAACAGTCCCTGGATCAGTGGTGCTTATTGACCAAGGGCTACCTGCACCCTGTGGCCTACAACTCTGACATTCAGTTAAGAGGAGAATTATATACCTCATACCCTCTTCACTGAAAATATTGCAAGGATATGAGCACTTGTCTGTAAAAAATTTAAACCACACTTCTTATGTGAACACACACAAAAAAATCAAATACACTTGATTCTCCAATTTAAAAATTCAGTGCATTCTATCTTAAGCAACAAGAGTTAATTTACAAATAAGCATGAAGCCATTCTAAAAAAGTTATGATAAATTCTGTGGGAGAAATATTGGAAGATCAGCTCAAGAACTTCAGTCCAAATATAAAGCAAATCCTTGCATTAAGGGCCTTCCAATGTTTGAAAATATAAAACAGACTGTTAACATATATAAGGTTAACATTCACTCAAACTATAAAAAATAATTATAGCTCTATTATGAGAGGAAAAAAATTAAAAGCAACCAATTGCCTAACCTTAGAAAAGTAGTTATGCAAACTTATAATCAAATATCCTATAACTACAAAATGAAAATGTCTACTTACTATAATTTTCAAAACTATATAATTCTGTAAAAATTCAAATACATGGACAAATCTATGTTAGTATATACTTGGAAATGTATATATAAAATTCTATTAGATGAAAAAAGCAAAATTAAAAATATACAGTGATTACAATTGTGTAAAAGTGAATATACTACAATAACCAAAACTGAAGTGAATTTTATAGACATAAATAATCATTAGGCTTTTAAAAATTTGTTGCTTAAGATTATAACAAAATAAAAAAGAAAACTTAGGCCATTATTTTAGATAAAACTATACTTCTACATAATACTGGAATATATGCGAACCCTTAAAACAGAGATTTTAAAAACTATGACTTATATATCACAATGTAGTCTATAGGAGACCAGCCCGTTTGGTGACCTCCATTCTACAATACATTCTGGACAATGTGTGCAATTTTAACTGTCCCTTTAAAGCACAAAGCAAAATTTAAAAGCACTGTCCAAATAAGAAAACCAAGCAGCATGCTAACTATGTACTTCATTTGTTCCTGTGTAAAGCCACCAGCATAGGGTGTTAAAAAAAACAATTTTATATACATATTTTACATAACATATATTAACACTATAAATATTTTAAAGAATGGCTTTTACATAATCCTTTTTTCAATATATACCTGTTAATTGCAAATTATGTAAATGCAGTCTTTCAGGTTTATTATTGAAAATGAGTTGCAACATGATTTAGAAAATGGTTAATTTCTTGGATAAAACATAGCATATTTAGAAGTCCGAAAGCCAAGTAAGTCCCTTATTTCATTCCGGAATTTCGACAGGTCCTGGCGTAGTTCATTTAAATTTTCCACAGTTGCCTGATCTGTACTTTGCATCTTCTGTCGCATAGAAGTCAAGTAGCGATGCACTAAGCAGCACATCACTTTTTGGTAGTTTTCATCTCTCTTCTGTTTCAAATTTCTCCATTCCTTAAAAACAAACAGTAATATGATACTGAGGTTCAGAGGGAGGACTTAAATGGAGTGGATGCTTATAATAACAAATTTCACAGATATAAATACCTCTTAAAATGTATTTTATTAGGTTATTTTTATATATATACTCATTTTATTAGGAGCTCTTACAGATATTATAAAAATAAATAATTCAATTAGATCAAGCATAATTGCTGCCACCATCATTTTGAAAATATTTTCTTTCTTCTTGAACTCTTTGAATATCAGCTCCCCTTTATCCCCTCTCCCCCCCACTCTACCTCCCAGGAACTTTATTGTATTATATATTATTATTAATTATTATTGCACATCTTACACCATCCAATGTATCTATTTACCTACAATTCTGTTATTTATTCCCCTTGAGTGGGGTTATACAGTCATCATTGCTATCAGTTCTTCCCCTAGCCCCTGCCCCCTGTCCCCCACTTCCCATACCCCCAGGGAAATATTACTCCCATTACAATTTCTGAAGGGTTTATCTATTTTGGATTTCATGCATCGAACAATCTAATTATACAAATGAACATACACTGATCTAACAAGATTAATGAGGTAAAACTAAGACCATAATAGTAAGGAGAGGTAATAGTAAAGAACTAGGAGATAGTTAGGTGTTTCATCAGTGCTATGCTGCACCCTGGATATATCTTCCCTACCATGTGCCCCTTTTGTGAGGGACTGTCCAATTATCTTACAGGTGGGTTTTGGGTCTCCACTTTGTCTACACTCCTTCACGTCAATTTGATTGCTTGTTTTTGGGCTTCTGATAACTATTCCTGTCAACACCCCATGATCACACAGGCTGGTGTGCTTCTTCCATGTGGGCTTTGTTGCTTCCCTGATAGATGGCCGCTTGTTTAACTTCAAGCCTTTAAGATCCTAGATACTATATCTTTTGATAGCCAGCCACCATCAGCTTTCTTCACCACATTCATTTATGCACCCATTCTGTCTTCAGCAATCGTGTCAGGAAGATGAGTATCATACATTGCCACATTATTAGAACAAACTGTTCTTGTACTGAGGTAAGGTTTAAGTAGAGGCTCAAAGTCCATCTGCTTCCTTATTGTGTGAATATATTTGTGTATATATATATACCCATATATAAACAAATATACCTATCTTTATATATTTACATATATACATATCTATATTTATACCTATACATATAATTTTTAACTTTGTTCTTTCCTCTTGCCCCACTATCATGTTTACCCATCATTCACCCCTCAGTAATTCCTCTCAGTTGCATTTCAATTGATCAAACACGACCAGGAAAGCTACACCCTCCTCACCATCAATTTGGATCCCTTGCTATTTCCCTGTCCCTGTCATTATTGGCTCATCGCTCCCCTCCCCCTGCCTCCTCCTCTTCCATGATTCCCCCCCACCCCCCAAACTGTTGGTCCTGTTACTGTTTTCTTGGAATTGCTTATCCTGCCTATCTTATATAGATAGACACCAAAAGAAAAGAGAGAGACCATACAGATAGTTCTAGTCTAACTGTTGTCCTGACCCAGAGTAGATGAGTATGCCTCTGTTAAATAGCGAGCAGGCCCTGTTGTAATCCATCAGTCCAATCCCCTTCTCTTTCAGGGATCCATATCCCAGGACCTGCTTACCTAACAGCACTTATACCCTTTTATGCAGCATTCGTGTCGGTGAGGCATGCCTTCTACAAGACCCCACTGCTCTTTCTGCAGTCAAGGACGGAGCAGTCTAGTGCCCCACCCCCTACCCCAATACACCTTTAGACTTTCAGTATGGCCCTCTTGTGAATATCCCTCAACTAGTTCTGATGAACAGGCTTTATTTTTGCCACAGCATGTTGCAAAAAGGAGCTAACATTAGTTTAAACAAATAAAATCAGCCTATTTGTTTTGCCCAAAACTATATGCCTGTCTTAATTTTTAAAAATTAATGTGAAGCAGCTTCAGTTTATACTTGGGATCAGCATACTATGACTCATAGGCCAAATATAACCTGCATCCTGTTTACATGTAGTCTGAGAACTAAAAGGGTTTTTAACAATGAACATTTACACCTCCTTAGTGATCAGGAACATCACCTTTGAACTCCAGTTAAGAGAAATGTTATCTGTCCCCACCCCCATTACGTCCCTCCTCACACCAGCCACCAAAGGAACAGGCATTCTTCTCATCAGGAGATCTGCATGACAAAAAGTTATTATGCAGGGACTTCAGAAAGTTCATGGAAAAATTGTTCCACACGTTTTGAAGCCCCCATGTACTCAGTTGTTGTTATATTTTGAATTCTGTCAATAACTATTTTGTAAGAATTTGTTTTCTCATTACATTAATTCATATGCAAAACATTTTATTTTTGTCTCGGCCTGTAAAGCCTAAAATATTAATAAATTAGCAAGGGGGAACTGATCGCAAAGATTGACACATAACCCCACCCTGGGAGAAGAACAACAGAAACCATGGGGGAAGGGAGTCAGCGGTCAGAGTGAGATATGGAAATAACAACAATTTATAATCTATCAAGGGGTCATGAGGGTGGGGAGAAGGGAGCGGAAAAAAAGAGGAACTGATATCAAGGGTTCAATAGAAAGTAAATGTCTAGAAAAGAATGATGGTAACATATATACAAATATGCCTGATACAATTGATGTATGAATTGTAATGAGTTGTAAAGCCTCCCCAATAAAATCTTTTAATTTAAAAAATAGTAAATGAGCAAAATTTAATAAAATTATTTTAAAAATATATACACATATCAATATATTTTATTAATGTTACTAATTAATATATACATATATGCACATATATACACATATATGAGGTGCCTCCAAAGCTTGTGGAAAGATGGAATCCAAAGATAGTGGACTTTTCCCATGAACTTTTTGAAGCTCTCTTGTACATATAGCACACACAAAACCAGCAACAAACTCACTATAATTACTTCATTCCATCTCACTGATCCCCTAGGATGGACTAGACCTGTCCCATTGGGTTTCCACAGCTGTAGCTCTTTACCATAAGGAGACCTTGTATCTTTCACCCATCAAGAAACCAGTGTGTTTGAACCTCTGATCTTTGGGTTAACAGCCCAGCACCTAACCACTGCACCACCAGAGCTCAGATACATATATTAAATAGTAAACGTAGTAAACTGACCCTCTGTAAAAAAAAATTGCAAATTCCTTTTTTTGGTATCAATATAGTTGAAAATCCAGGGATTAATTTTCCAGAGAAACCAGAAAAATGTGAGTTTGCTGTCAGTGGTCATTCTGTGTCTGATTTAGTTTATTGTGCCAACCTGGCCAATAAATACACATGGGGTTAATTGAAGGGCGGAGGGATAAATGGCTCAGTGAGCCTCACCTTTCTAGCTCTCGGGTCTCTTGCTATCTGATGGTCGGACCAGGGTGCAGCTGCCTTACCAGTTCCCTGCTTCAGCTGGCAAGGCTCACTTCCTGCAAGACATCCCCAAGGAGAAGCCACATGGACCTAGCCCGATGCAGCCCTGGGTGCTGGAGCAGCCGTGTGGAGACCCCTGCCAGCGCTGAGATGCTTACACATTCACTGACTCGGATTTACTCCTGCAGTTGGCATCATTGCCTCTGTTTTGTGAGATGAAGGAGGACTTTGTGGATTGGTGTTGGACATATGGGTTAATGTTGGACTTGTGGGCTTGGGCAGCACCGGACTGGAATGTTTTCTTGATGCACACTTAACCTTTATATAAAACTCTCTCGTATACATGAGTTGCTGTGGATTTGTTTCTCTAAACTACCCAGACCAATCTATGCTGACCAAAGAGGGATTCTAAATATTTCCTATGTTCTGAAACTATGAAAAGAGATTTCATGTGTTAGGAAAGCCTGAAAAATCAGAGAGCTTTCTTTCAGCAAACATGTACTGAACCTTCACTCTGTGTTCAACAGTATGGCATGCATGCAGTACGGACAGAGTAGTGGGAAAAAATATCCCTCAGTTGCAGCCTTTACAGAGCTTGTATATTTATGATTTAGGCAGTTCCTGAGATTAGGCACTGTTAAAACTCTATTTTGCAATTTAAACTCCCAATTGCTTACCTTTAAGCTGTTTTGCCGTTTGACCCTGCCTTTTGATGTATGAGAGCAAATCCACTTACTGAGGCTGCTAATCACATAACAGATAGTCTTCGGTGAAGGAACGATGTTGAAGGGCGGGGGTAATGTGCATTTGTCATCAAAGTAGCTAAGCCACAACTTTGCTCGGGCAAACTTCCATTCTTTGTCTTCATGATTCTAAGAAGGCCCATGAAAAAGTAATTTAGAATATAAATCCATACAGATATATGTATATTTGTTTATATAAGTATGTAGGTATGTTTTGAGTGTAGCGAGAGACCATTTTAAACTGCCCAAAAATTAGATTCAAAATCTACAATTAATGCAACTACTGACACTTGAAAAACCTGTATTTAATTTTCAAATGATACCACTTATTAATTCTTGCTATCCTTGGTTGCCTGGTCTACGGCATATGGTTGGTCTGCTCTGAAAACAAATCAGTCAAGTTGCAAGAAGGAGCGCTTACCGCTATCAGTTGGAAGCTTTTATGCAGCATTGCCACCAGCAGCTTTGTCAGCACGATCACCACAACCACGTTGTACGTGCCCACAATCACAGCACCAACAAACGACTGCAGCTCTTCGCCATAGCTGAACCGCGTGACAAAGATCGCCACATGTGCCAAGGAGAAAATATACCAGAACAAAGCAAAACAAGTGCCGATGAACCTGCAATGACAAGTACATTTATGTCAGGGAGTCCATTTTTAGAAATTAACTACCACTCAGATCAAAATTATTTTTAAAAGAAACTTTGATAATCCAAGAATAACACCTTATCACAAGGTTACCTTACAATAGAGATGTCTTACTTTAAACAAAGACATTCAAAAGGAAGCTATGTTCCTATTTAACCCCTCGCTGCCATTCTGTTTGTTCTTAACATAGTTAGCTAGTCCGTGTAGGACCCTATTAAAGTCAAACTAGATGTGGCACTCCTCTGCTCAAACACTTTAAAATGACTCTCAATCTTAGGGGCCTCAAGTTCTTATAGGACTGATAAGGTCCAAGGTCCTACATGATCCCCACCCCCCATGACCTCTGAACTCATCTCCCACATCTCTCCATTTTAGTCACCTGGGTCCAGTCACACTGGCCTCAGGCTTCAACAAGCTCCAGAACCTTATTTGCTTGTGTGTGTGTGTGTGTGTGTGTGTGTGTGTGTGTGTGTGTGTATACACACATGCATGCGTGTTTTGAGCGAAGCACTGCTGGCACAGTAGTTAAGGCACTGAAAAGTCGGTGATTCAAATTCATCAGCTGTTTCCTGTGGGGGAATGATAAGGAATGATATAGGGATTTACAATGTTGAAACTCCTACAAGGGGCTATTGAACTCTCTGAGAGTTGTCTATGAGTTGCAAGAGATTCAAGGGCAGTAGATTCGGGTTGTCTTTGTTGTCCAGGCGGCTCCAGCTCATGGCAAACCTATGTATAAAAGAATGGAATACTGTCTTCTCCAACATTGCCTTCCAGCTTAGGGGGCTCGTCGTCCAGCATTGTTACAATGTTCTGTTGTGATTCACAGGGTTTTCATTGGGTACTTTTAAAAGTCAGGCCTTTCTTCCTAGTTTGCTTAGTCTGGTGATTGCCCTGTCACCTGCACACCATGGATGACCCAAATGGCACTATATTCCCAAATTCCAACTTTGTACTCCTAGCCTTTACCACTCTGTAAGGCACTACATATCTTATCTGTTTTCTTATTTATTGTCTGCCTACCTTCAGTAGAAGGTAAGCTCCATGAGGATAGCTTTGTTCACTGATACCGTATTCATCAGCACTTAGAAAAATTCTAGCACATAATAAAACAAAAAGCTAACACACTGCCAGGCAGTCAATTCTGACTCATACTGACTATATAATAGATGATATATAGATATATATCCATTTAGTGATAATAAATGACTACGTATGTCACATGATTCACAATGGAACCTGACAATGACTGTGAGTCGCTACTGACATTGAACACTTGTGGGCAAGAATCTGACTACCTCTCACTGTACTGGACAGATGAACAACTGCCCTGTCCAAGATGCTAAGAGCACTCCAAATGCCAAGGGTTTCCCCACTGCGAGAAACTGCAGGATGGAGGGCAATGCAATGACAGAGACCTACTATTAGAGTAAAATTCTGCATATAATGATGGCGATTACAAATTAATGAAAAGCAAAGTATTTATGAAAGTTCACAAGTACTCAGGAGGAACCTCGTTCATGAAGGTCCCTGGCAGAGAGAAGGATACTGACGCAACATTTAAAAAGGCACTCACGAGTGAAAGGTGTCGTTGCTTTGCTGTTCACAGAAGATGCCCACACAGTCCTTCTGCTCCTTTGGAGTATAGCCTTTATCATAGAGTTGTGTCAGGCCAATTGTGAAAGAAAACAGAACAAGGAGGAACATCCCAAGGAATTTCCCAAAATCTTGTAACATCTGTCCCATTGATATCTGCAGAGTATATTACATTGGTGTTCATTAAAATGATCATGAAAAGCAAAACATTACCAGGTCAGACTAAAAAGAGGAAGATAACTTATTGCCCATAGGTTATCCTTTTTATTCTAGCTGAATGTAATAGTTCTGACTTTTAAAATAAAATTTAAAAATCCAGCTGTCTAAGAAAAAGCCCTTCCAGTCATGCTGTCATCATTCCAATGTGCTTGTGGGTCATCCTACAACTCAAGTACAATGAGACTCTCTGGCCTCCATGACCTCCAATGTTCTTTTTCCTAAAAGAAAGAGAGAAAATGCCCACTCCCAAGGGCACCCTAAGATTCAAAGCAGCTGAAATCACTCATTAGATACAGCAGTAATATGCCATTTATGCTACACAGGACATTCCTTAAATCTGTTACACCCAGTGAAACGAAATGCTTCACGAAGAATTAAGTATACGCAGTCATGTGGCAGGTACTTCGTTAACTCGGCATTCTTAAGCTGCCTTGCATTCCTTTCTAGGTCTGCACAGTTCACTCCGCTGGCTCTAAAGGCAAGGGCAAAGGGATTCGACATTTATTTACAGCCCACTGGGGGCCAGGTCTGGGAGAATGATGCGGCCATCTGCTCTTTTAAGTATTTCCAGCCTTGGAAAGCCCTGTGGAGGGTCGCTGTCACTCAGCTACAAAACTGACACCAACCCTGCAAACCCCACAACATCCGATACTGGAGGCAAGGGTCAGGGGTCAAGCAACCTGGTAAGTATTGGAGAATTTGTACCAAGCTGTGAGAATCCAAAGGGGTAGTTAACCAGTTGTAATATTACTAATTCTAATTATTAGACCAAACAGAAAGGAAGACATTTAGATAAGCATCTTCAATGATAAGGATTTTTGGTATCTAAGATTACAAAGGGCAGACCCTCACTGACCCCTTCACTGTTTCTGAATGGATCTTTGCTTGGAACTTCTGCCTCAGGGATCCTACTCAGAACACTCTATTCAACTACTGTGGGGCATTTAGTGGGAATGCCTGAAACCTCATGATGTGGCTGATATGCTGTAGATGTTCTAGGCAGGAGACATTTTCTTTTCTCAATGAAGACTGGAGGAAATGGGGCTATTGCACAAAAAAGGAAATAAATACTTGAGAAAATTCCCAACTAACTTCTTTCCCTCCTCCCAAACTAACTTTTTTTCTTAGTTTTTCTTTCATTTAGTTTTTCTAGAATCGAGGCCCCAAAGGGCGGGGTTAAGGTAATCTAGAAAAGAGGAGGGGTTGTTTCCTGGCTCTTTGGGATTCTAAAGAAGGGGAGCTGATATTTTGCAGCAGGAAGGGGACCGATCTGCCCTATGCCTGGAGTTCAATCACCAGGCTCATACCATCTTACACAGATTTTGGACTTGGGAGCTCCTTGGGCAGCAAAAGTGAAATTCCAGGGGCCTCTCTCTTCCATCCTCCACCTGATCTACTCTCACGGACACTGGCAAGCTCGGTTAGAGCCTTCACACTGCGAGGAACCGCCATGAAGATAATGGTGTCAGGAAGACTAGGGACATTCATCATAGGGCTACTCTGTCATCCCTCCAGAACCCCAAGCAGCATTCACAGCCTTCATTTCCAACGAAGCAGGGAAATCCTAACTTCCTATAGAATTAAATGTTCTTCATTGCTAAGCTATAGTAGATGCTGCTTCTCTGACTTACAGTAATAACAGCAATGAGCATTTAGTGTAAGTCACATACTGGCTAAACTATTGTTTCCCAAAGTGAGCAATGCCACCCCAGGGGGTAGGGGAGGCTTAAATGATCCAGGGAGCTGCAAAACCAGATACCTACACTTTATCCTGGATTATGGACTACACTACAAAAGTTCTAATTGTTAGGGAAGCATGGAGTAATTTTTTTTTTTCCTGAAAAGGGGGCAGTAGGTTAAGGTGACCAGATTTTAACATTGGTAAAGCGGGACAAAAGCGGGATACCATTGATAAAACTCATATCCTGGCGAAATAGCCACATGGCAGCCGAAAACCGTATACCCTAGCTTGTTGTTGCATTCTTTTCAAAAGTCGGGACTTTAAAAAAATGCGGCAGGACGCAGGAAAAATTGTTAAAAATCCAGACTGTCCCGCCAAAAGCGGGATGTCTGGTCACCTTACAGTAGGTCAAATAAATTTGGGAATTTATGGTCTAAACAGATGAGGGTTTTTTTTTTCTGTCTTAAAAAAAGATGGAAGGAAAGAGAAAACAAAATATAAAGAAAAGAGAAAGAGAGAGAACACCAAGACAACCATAATGATGATGTTCTGATAGCGTTCTCACAAATAAAAAGAAGTCTTTGGGTGGGCTAGACCTAGCCAAATGAAAATTCTATTTTGTGTATGAGCTCATGCAGTTAGGCCCTCCTTGCCTCTGCTCAGATCTCAGGAAAAGAAAAAGGTCAAAGAAATATAAAATGTGTCTAGTCTCTTCTGTATAACCATTGTAATACTAGGACTATATTTGTCTTTTGGATTTTTATTCCCTATTTTTTTCAATGATAAGATTGAATATTTAATAAGATATTTATAATAATGCAGTTCATTTAAAAAAGTCCTATACTTTTAATTGGGGTGTAGTTCCACCAATAGCTATAGTCCCAGAGCCTCCAGGGGCAGCTCTACCTTGTCCCATAGGGAAGCTACGAGCCTGAATTGACATGACTTCACGGCAGGGAAGGTTTTTGAGTGGATGTGTTTGTGGATATGTACTGAGCTACTTCAAACAGTGTGTGGGAAAACGGAAGGAAAAGATAATGACATTTCCCATGAACTTTCTGGAGCACCGTCAATATGTATGCCCTACATATACAAACACTATACCCAAATAAAATACTATAAATATTTTACTCATATTTCATATATATGATTTTAAAAACAACAAACAAAACTCACTGCCCTGCTCTTTACCATCTGTGTCCAATATCGAGTCAATGCCAACTCATATCGGACAGGGTACAACTGCTCCTGTGAGTTCCCTAGGCTTATAACCGTTCATGGTAGAAAGCCCCGTCTTTCTCTTGAGGAGGAGCTGGTAGTTTCAAAGTGTGGACCTTGGGGATTGCAGCCTAACACATAACCACAACGCCACTAGCACTCCAATATATATGACATACTACATCCAAATTAAAGATTAACTTAAAGTTAGTAAATTTTCAAGAACTTGGACACAGACAGTGAAGAAGCATGATCTATAATTAAAGTGCTGTAACATTCTGACCTAATCTCCATGAGACAGATCTTTGTTTGGATTTCCTTTGCCACTCTTCTCTTCCTCCCAGATACTACCACTTTGTTTTCTTCTGCTCACCCTCCCTTTTCCTTAAATGGCCAAAGTATGTTAAGTGAAGTATAAACTTCCAAGGCAGGGCTCTTCTGTGCATTCGACTCAAAGGCCAGTGGACGTTTTTTCCAGCCTGGCTGGTGGGAGCAGGCACCATTGTAAGTAGTGAGTGCCTTGTGCGACTTCTTTGGGATGGCTCTCTCCCCACCCTTGGCTGGGTTTCAGACACACAGGTTGATCAGTGCTTGGCTGAATGCGCAGAGGCCTGGCCTCTGCTGATCTTGGAGTTCTCTGTGTGCTGCTTTTTCAGCCCACTGTTCTTCCTACAAACTTGACCTACTTGGGTCTCACCGGCTCTCCCTTTCCTGCAAATAGGAATTCTGCCAGGTTCTGGGTTTCTCCTCCCTGTGGAATCACCTGAACACTCTAATAAGGCAATCTATATTTTTTGTTTCTTACAGATCAGTTTTTCCACTGTCAGTGTCCAAGTTCTTGAAAACATATTCACTACTTTTTCACCCACTGCCATTGAGTCAATTCTGACCCCGTAGGGCAGGTAGAACTGCAAGACTGTAACTGTTCATTGAAGAAGAAAGTCTCTTCTTTCTCCCATGAAGTGCCTGGTGGTTTCAAACTGCTGACCTGTGGTTAGCAGCCTAATACGTAACCACTACACCAGGGGTGTTAAACTGGCAGCCCACAGGCTGCGTGCGACCCCAAGTTAATTTTTTGTGGCTCACAATGCTCTGAAATAAAATATAATGAGGGAATCATGTCTACAGCATTGCCTCGATCTCCCCTAAGCACTATTTTCTTCATAACAATTTTTCTATTTTCATTTTATTTCAGAACATTGTGGGCCACAAAAAATTACCTCGCGGGCCGCATGCAGCCTGCGGGCCACCAGTTTGACACCCCTACACTACACCATCAGGGGTTCTTATCTTGAAAACTAGTTTTATATATTTTATCAATTTTATTTCTCCCGCCCCCGCCCCATTTATCCTTTTGGCTGGAAATGGAAGTCATAAACTGACTCTTCATTCTAAAACAATAATAATACACTTTCTCTTTTTAACCCTTTGTAGAAATCTATAAAGGAATTTCCAGTATAGAAGCCTGGCAATGTCATCAGTGTGTGGCTTAAAAAATCAATAAGCATGTAAAGACTCTTGTTACCTCTTGATTAAGATGTACAAGAAAGATATTAGTAACAAAAATAAATCAAACCAACAGATAGTCAAAAGCAGTGTGTCACATGGTATGTTTTGAGAGAAAGCGGTAACCCGAGTATAACTCCTGAAAAACAGGCTGTGAAGTGAATTTCAGTAGTGCTGGTTTGAACAAGGTTAAACAGATATCTTTTTTCTCAAAGGTTGCAATGTGATAACGTGCACTGTGAGTTCTCCAAAGAGGTGTGTACAGCACGCAGTCGCAAATGTATTTACATCAGACCATCTCATAGGACTCTGGCATAAAAGACTGCTGCAGAATGATAGCATGATCCTTTATAAATATTCTCTTATCTCTGTTTGGAAAAGGTAATTATGTGCATTTTATTTAAAACAATTTCCTTTAACAATAAAGAAGAGAATTGAAATTGTTAACAAATCTTGACTTAGGCAACTCAGATTTTTAGACTTATAATTTTGACTAAGTTGTAGACCTAGTTACATAAAAGAGTTAATCTTACCTTTGAAAAACCGTCAACTACTATTCTCTTAGGGATGAATTAAACCAAGTTGAGCCATATATTTGGTGTAAAGAGACTTCAGAATACAGTCCTAGATTCTTTTTTTCCCCCCTAGAGTCTTACACTTAATAAACATGCTACATTATATACATCATATGCCATGTCAAATGCTTAATTTCTTTAATTATGAAGTGCTTGGCTGCATGATTTCGATGAATGTTTCAGCTCTAAGTATGCCATATTCTACAATATAACACTTAGCCTTTATTCAATACAAGTAAGAGTACTTTAAAACATATATCTTGTTGTTCTTAAATGCTGTCAAGTTGGTTCCAACACATAGTAACTGTACATAAACAGAACAAAACACTCACTGCTCAGTGCGACAACATCTTCACAACTCTGATGTTTGAGCCCACTGTTGTAGACACTGTGTCAGTTTAGCACACTGAGGGCCTTCCTCTTTTTGACTGCTCATTCACTTTCTCAAGCATGATGTCCTTCTCCAAGGACTGGTCTATCCTAAAAATTCGTCCGACAGTGTATGCAATGAAGTCTTACCATTCTTGCTTCTACAGAGCATTCTCGCTGGTCTTCCTCCAGGACAGAGGTTTGTTCTTCTGGCCGTTCTCACCAGCATCACACTTTAAATTCATCAATTCATCTATAGTCTTCCTTATTCATTGTCCAACTTTAACATGCAGTTGAAGTGATGGCAAATACCATGACTTGGGGCAGGCACACCTTAAGTTCTAAAATTACCATCCTTGCTCTTCAATATTTTAAAGAGCTCTTGTAGAGCAGATTTGCCCAATGCAGTATTGTCAGTTGATTTCTTGACTGCTGCTTCCATGAGCAGTGATTTTGAGTCCAAGCAAGACAAAAATCCTTGACAGCTTCAATCTTTTTTCCATTTATCATGATGCTGTCCAACTGTCATCCTTGATCTTCATCAGCAGGTGTTTCCTTCAAGTCCTCCTTGTTTTCAGCAAGAAAGTTTGTACATATTTTAAAAATCATCATGAAAAATGGTTATTTGTTTGCACAGGACCTCTCTCAAATCTATTATCTAAAATACTTAAAATCTTAAATGTGAGATTCATTTTGGTTAAAAAGCAAATTTTTCTATCCCTCTACTGTCTGAAGTGAGGAACCCTGGCAGTACAGTGGGTTCAGTGATGGATAGCTAACCACAAGGTCAGGGCTCATGCACTCACAGCACTCTGAGAGAAAGGTGCTGCCTTCTGCTCCTGTGGGATTTAGTCTTGCAAACCTCATGGAATAGGTCGACACCAGCCTGCTAGATTTCTCCTAGATGGAATCAACTCAACAGAAGCTGGATTTTGTTTTATTGTCATAAGTATAATAAGTACAAACCTATCGATGGAAAGGGATGAGAAGGCCAACAAACCATAGTTCAAACCAGTTGCCTTTGAGTTGACTCCAACTCATGACGATCCTGTTTGTGTCAGAGTATATTTCCAGACCTTTCTTTTGAGGTGCCTCTGAGTAAACTCAAATTGCCCACCTTTAAGTAGCAATGTGACCTGTTTGTACCATTCAGGGATGCCCTTAAATGGCTGAAAGCAAAGGATTATCATTCAGCCAGAAGCAAGGCATATGGACAGGCTGTGCTACTTATTTTTTTTCAAAAGCAAAGGCTAGCTGAAACATTGATTGAATAATGTTCCAGTGGATAAGCAGAAAGATATATTGATAGTGTGTTAGTCCGGGTAGACTAGAGAAACAAATCCAAGGAGACTCATATGTGTATAAGAAAGAGCTTTATATAAAGAGTAATTGGACTTTAAAAAAACATTCCAGCCCAGTCCAGATCAAGTCCACAAGTTCGATATCAGCCCATACATCCTATACCAATCTATTAAAGTCCTCTTCAGACTCACAAAACACATGCAATGACACTGAATGCAGGAAGAGGATGGGTGGGAAGTCTTGTGGATCCAGAGGTGTTGTAAGCATCTCAGCGCTGGCAGGGGTCTCCACATGGCTCCTTCAGCTCCAGGGCTCTAGCATAATTCCACATGTCTTGTCTACAGGAATGTCTCACAGGGAATGAGTGTGTCCCGCCTCCAGTGAGCTATTTATCTTCGTAGAGCTTCCAAATGAGGTCATCAAGGTCCTATCTGATTGACAGGCTAAACTCCACCCCTTTACTCTTAAGTCTCACATTGACAACAGATTATGTAACTACCACAGATAGTATCTAACAAGTGTCTTTAAGAAATTCAATTATTTACCTGTAAGGGACCCAAGATAGAGCTGGTTGTGTACATAAAAAAGAGCCGAAGATAACTCAGAACATTTGCAAATGCAAAAAGCCCTTCTGCTACCAGTGTAGGATGGAATGCATCCCAGTCTTTCCGATCAGCAAAATCATGAAACTAAGATTAGAAAGAAAAAAGATATGGGTAAATAACTCCATCAATTTAGGACTATAAAATAAATATTGTGGTTGTTGAAAGGAACCTATTTTATTGATGTCTCCTACTGGGGATCTCCATGTATGTTCTATAGAATTCTCCTTTTTAATAGAAATAACTATATCTTAATAAAGGATTTATATATGTGTGTATGTGAGGCAATATCATTTAACTCTCCCTGAGGGGACTTCAAATAGCTCAGGGAAAACAGCATGAAAAAATAATGGATTTTCACAAATTTTTTGAAGACCCTCATAGCAAGAAGTTTTCAGAAAAGATTCTTTCTTAAAATCGTAAATGATTTTTTAAAATTGTCATTAAACTTTAAAAAAAATCATTTTATTGGGGGGCTATTACAAATCTTATGACAATCCATCACTCAATTGTATTAAGCACACTTGTACATATGTTGCCATCAACATTTCTAAAACATTTTATTTCTACTTGAGTCCTTGATATCACCTCCTCTGCTTTCTCCTCCCACCCCCACCCTCCCACCCTCTTGAATCCTTGATCAATTATATATTGTTGTTATTTCATGTCTTACACTGTTGTCTCCCTACACCCACATTTCTGTTATTTGTTCCCCTGGGGGATGGGCTATATATCCAACCTTGTGATAGGTTCTCACTTTCTGCCTCTTCCCCTCTGCCCACACCCACCATCACCCTACATTCATAATATCGCTACTCCCACTACCTGTCCTGAATTCCATGTGTTGACAGCTCTTATCTGTACCAATGTGTGTTCTCTGATCTAGCCAGATTTGTAAGGTAGAACTGGGCCATGGTAGTGGTGGGGAGGAAGTATTCAGGAGCCAGAGGAATGATGTGTGTTTCTTCGGTGCTATACTACACCCTGGTTGAACTGTCCCTTCCTTGTAACCCTTCTGTGGGGAGATGTCCAACTGTCTACATGTCATTAAACTTTTCATGAGTTAAATGCTGGCTCATATGTCTTAAATTCTGCTACACAACCTTTTTATATAAGATTTCATATTAAAGTGACCTAGTTGTTTATTCGGGATTCTGCAATGAGACATAGAGTTTCTTTCTTTTCCTGTTTAAATTTCAAGAGAAAGAGAGCGCATCATTGTACCTAGAGAGCGCATGGTCATAAATCCACCAAGTTGCCTGGGGCAGTCCTAGATTGTATACTAGTTATTTTAACATAATAATAGTTCATTATTGAGATCTAGATACAGGCATGTACATATGAAAATATATTTATATATGATGATGGGGAAATAGATCTATGTACATATATTTACAGGTTTAGTATTAAGGAAGCAGAGGACATTAGGTCTCTACTCAAGGACTCCCTCAACACAAGAACACTTTGTTCTAATAATCAGACACTCTGAGATGCTCCCTTTCCCGACACAATCGCTGAAGACAAAGCGGGTGCATAAGCAAATGTGATGTAGAAAGCTGATGGTGCCTGGCTAAAAAAAGATAGCGTCAGGAGTCTTAAAGGCTGGAAGATAAACAAGCAGCCATCTAGCTGAGAAACAACAAAGCTCACATAGAAGAAGCATACCAGCCTGTGTGATTATGAGGTGTCAATGGGACCAGGTACTAGGCATCAAAGACCCAGAGTAAAAAAATCACAATGTGAATAAGGGGGGGAGTGCAGAGTGGAGGCCCAAAGCCATTCTGTAAGCAATTGGACATCCCCTTACAGAAGGGTCGTGGGGAGAAGATGGGCCAGTCAGGGTGCAATGTAGCACTGATGAAACATACAGCTTTCCTCTGGTTCTTTAATGCTTCCCACCCCCAACCACTATCATGACCTTAATTCTACCTTACAAATCTAGCTAGACCAAAGCATGTACATGGGTACTGATAAGAGCTGGAAGCACAGGGAATATAAGACAGATAAACTTCTCGGGACCAATATTGAGAGTGGCCATACCAGGAGGGTAAGGGGAAGGTGGATGGAGAAAGGGGGAACCGATCACAATAACCTATCTATAACCCCCTCCCAAGGGGATGGATAACAGACAGGGGGTGGGAGGAGACATCCGACAGTGCAAGAGATGAAAAAAAAATTGTAAATTATCAAGGGTTCATGAGGGAGGGAGGAAAAGAGAGGGGAACAAATGCGGAGCTGATACCAAAGGCTCAGATAGAAAGAAAATGCTTTGAAAATGATGATGGCAGCATATGTAAAAATGTGCTTGAGACAATGGATGGATGTATGGATTGTGATAACAGTTGTACGAGCCCCCAATAAAATAATAAAAAAAAAAAATTCATTCTCAAAAGTGACTTTGTTTGGACGATATATTATATGAGCACTCTACTTCTAGTGCTGAAATCAGTCTGAAAAAGTAACGTCCCTCAACTTCGGTAGCAAACCATTATTCATGTATAACTAATTTCTTAGAAATCTCATATTCAGACTATTAAACCTAAACAATTATGTACTACTCAAAGTACAGAACACAAAAATAATTTTGTTTACTGTAAAATTATATAAAATAACAGAACTCAAACTCAAGAAAAAGTTTTGAATACTGTAAAATTATATAAAATAACCAGTTAGAAATGAGGAGCTGATGCCAGAGGCTGAAGTGGAGAGCAAATGTTTTGAGAATGATAAGAGCAATGAATGTACAAATGTGCTTTACACAATTGATGTATGTTTGGATTGTGATAAGAGTTGTATGAGACCCTAATAAAATGATTAAAAATAAATAAATAACCAGTTTGTCTTTTCAATTATCTCTAAATTGATAAAAACAAAACCCCAAAGCCCAGAATATTGTCACTTAGTTGTTTGAATGCCACATCCACAAAAAACTCCAAACTCAGGATTAAACAAAGATATTAAATCTATTACCTTTTCTAGGCTAGGGAGAGCTTAAATCTTGATGTAAATAAATACACACACACAGGTATATACACACACACTCATGTGTTTGTGTGTGTGTGTGTATGTCTATATATACATATGGTTAAACTTTTATCAGATTCTAAAGTAGGCACCAGAAAAATGATTACCTTGACATGACTTTATAAAGCTGTGTACAAAAATAAGCATGATTTAGAATATGCAAATATGTATAATTAATTTCATTCAGATAACCTTTTTTTCTGGAAGATAAAACAAATATACAGCACTCATTGTTTTAAGTTACCTTTGTGTTCATATTTTAAGTATTTATTGACCAATGAGGTAAATGAACCTAGCTCAGATATAAGGAATCAGGATTTGGTAGAAAGAACATGCCTAGACAGACCTGGATTTAAATCCAGTCTTGGTTTCTTACTGTGTGGTCTTGGATAAGTTACTTAATATCTCTGAGCTTCATTTTCCTTATTTGCAAAATAGGGATAAGGACATCTGTCTCAAGAGTCCCTGTGAGGATAAAATGAGATAAAGTATATCAAGTATCAACCATGGTGCCTGGCATATAATAGGTAACTAACATTGAAAGGCAATTAGCATTTTTATACCAGTAGAAAGGGAAGAAAACCGTGTGCACTACTCTCTTGCACATAGATGGGCTTGAAATAAAAACACAGCAAACACAGACGTGGGTCAGTGTAACAAATCTAAATGTCTCAAGTATTTTCTACAAAAATTTGATCTGTACCTCCAATTGACATAGTTAATAGTCACCTTGTTATGAGCAACCATTTTGAGGGCAAAGGTTGCCAAATAGAGGGAATTCATGACAAAACTGAGTTGATTCCGAGATTCTTCTAAAAAGTCTTCTAATCCTTCATACCAGAGTCTTTTAATGTCTGACCAAATCATCCCTGAAAAAGGAAGAAAAAGAAATTAGGTAAAAGTCTCTTAATTCAATAAGGCTAAAGTATACTTTAAGGCTCAAAATACTAAGTTAATAACACTTAGATAACTGGAGGTTCCTTCAAAATAAAGAACAAGAACTTTTAGTAAACACTTCCCACACTCTGAAGGTAAACAAAACTTTGTTTCATATGATAGTATCTTTCCCATAAAGCAGTAACAAGTCCTATGAAACAAAAATAGGAATACAAATAAAATGATGCTTTGCCTGTGTATGTACACACACACACACACACACACACACACACACACACACACACACACACACCAGCTCAGTCCACGATCCTTTCTATTCATTATACACATTCACTCCATTAGTGATCTCATCCAGTCTCGTGGCATTAATACCACGAGACCATATGGTAAAGACTCTCAAATTTGTCTCTGAAATTAACCTGAGGGGCCCTGATGGATTAGTGATTATGCATTTGGCTGCTAACCAAAAGGTCAATGATTCAAAGCTGCCAGCTGTTCTGTGGAGAAAGATGTAACCATTGTGTTTGTAAAGAACTATAACCGTGGCAATTCTACCCTGTCATATAGGGCCACTATGAATTGGAGTCCACTAGATAGCAATGGGTATAGGTAACTGATATTTATATAACCCAAAACTCCAAACCTCTCTCCTAAAGTTTAGGCATTTTACTACTCTGCATCTCCAATTGGATATCTAACAGAGATCCTAACATATCCAAACTTAAATTCTAATCACAGTCACAAATCCAATGCAGTTACAGACTTCTTCATCTCAGTTGATCACAATTCTACTTTCCCTTGCTCAATACAAATGACTTTGAATCATCCTTAATGCCTACATTCAATCCAATAGCCAATCTTGTTGGCTCTATCTTCAAAAGGTATTTAGACCCTTAACTCTTCTCACTACTACTTCAACTTTATAGTATCATCCTTTCCAGCCTAGATTAATTACTAAGCTAGCACTAACTGTTCTCCCTGCTTCTACTCTTAGCCACTTAAAGCTTTTCTCAACATAGCAACTAGTGTGGTCCTGAAAGGCAGATTGTTACTTCTTTTCTTGGAATGCTGTATAGCTCCCTGAAGAGAATGAACTAATAGCAGGTCTGAACACTTTCTCCATGGGAATATAACCTCAGGTTATCATCTACTAAAATGGTTTCCTTGGAAACATTCTATATTTAGAAAGGATGGAAGGCTAACTGTGTTCAACACTGTTATAAATACAATCAATGACTGGGAAATTGCATCTGGTCCATAAGAGTGTAAGTAGATTCAACGTTCCTGAAAGAATGCATAACCAGAATCATAAAAACATTTCAGAAACACACCCTCAGTTGCTCTGTGTGAAGTGGGAGTTAATATGTAGTGGAGTTATATTCTTGGGCTATTATAAGACACAGTTCCTGCTTGATTTGAGGCATCCCAAAAAGGGAAGTCCACACCCACCCTCATGGTCTCATCCCCTACAAGACACTATGCCCATTACAGGAAGGGGAGTTATATTCTTAATATGTAGTGGAGTTATATTTTTGGGCTGTTATAAAGTCAAGGGAAATAGAGGAAAGAGCTGGGAGGCAAAGGGCATTTATAGAAGTCTAGAGAAAGACATGTACATATGCAAATATATTTATATGAGGATGGGGAAATAAATCTATGTGTCTATATTTATAGGTTTAGTATTAAGGTAGCAGAAGGACATTGGGCCTCCACTCAAGTACTCCCTCAATGCAAAAATACTTTCTTA